AAAACTGCCTTCAAGACTTCTTTTGGTCTATATGAGTGGTTAGTTATGCCATTTGGACTTACCAATGCCCCATGCACATTCATGCGATTGATGAATCATGTTTTAAGGAATTTTATAAATAAGTTTGTGGTAGTATACTTTGATGACATACTTGTTTATAATACTTCTATTGAAACACATATTGAATATTTACAAGCAGTTTTAGATGTTTTACGGGCTGAGAAGTTATATGCTAACTTTAAAAAATGCGGCTTTTGTGTCGACAAGTGCAACTTTTTGGGTTTTATTGTAGGAAAAGATGGAGTATGTGTAGATCCTGCGAATATTGCAGCCATCCAAGAGTGGCCTACACCTACTAGCGTGCGTGATATCTGCAGTTTCCATGGCCTTGCAAGTTTCTACCGTCAATTTTTGCGGAACTTCAGCACTATTGCAGCACCCTTAACTGCAGTTATCAAAAAGGAGGATAAGTTTGAGTGGGGAAGTGAACAACAAAATGCTTTTGATACTTTAAATTCGAAACTTACATGTGCACCCGTACTTGCTTTACCTGATTTCTTTAAACCGTTTGAACTTGATGCCTCTGGTGTAGGTATTGACGCCGTCCTCTCGCAAGAAAAGAGACCCGTTGCATTTTTTAGTGTAAAGCTACATGGCCCTGCGTTGAATTTCTCAACCTACGATAAGGAATTGTACTCCTTAGTGCAGGACCTGCTCACATGGCAACATTATGTACGTCCTCCAGAAGTTGAAGGCGCAATTCGTCGGTGTACAACGTGCTTCTCGTTAAAGTCTTATGTTCATCCACACGGTTTGTATCCTCCGCTACCTATTCTTGAATCCCCTTGGGGTTATGTTTCTATGGATTTCATATTAGGTTTGCCTAGGAGTAGTCCTGGTAAAGATTCAATATTTTTTGTGGTTGATCGATTTTAAAAAATGACACATTTTATTCCATGCACAAAAACCACTGATGCTTTGCATGTTGCTTCATTATTTTTCAAAGAGGTTTTTAGATTGCATGGTGTTCCAAGATCCATTGTTTCTGATAGGGATTCTCAATTTTTAAGTTATTTTTGGAAAACACTTTGGGCTAAATTAGGTACACAATTAATGTTTTCCACATCACACCACCCACAAACTGATGATCAAACAGAAGTTGTTAATCAAACTGTGGGAAGCTTGTTACGTGCCTTAGTTAATGAGAATTTAAAGAGTTGGGAAGAATTTTTAGCTAATGCTAAATTTGCATATAATCGTATGATTCATAGCTCTACAACTTGTTCTCCATTTGAGGTTGTTTTCGGTTTTAACCCATTAACTCCTCTTTATCTTATGCCATTGCCACGCAATGAGCACGTTTGTTTTGATGGAAGAAAAAGGGCCGAATTTGTCCAACAACTTCATTCTCAAGTTCGGGATGACCTACGAAAGGCAGCTGACAATTACGCAAAACAAGCTAACCGTGGGCGCAAGAAAGTTGTATTCGAGATAGGAGATTGGTTTTGGCTAAACTTAAGGAAAGAAAGATTTCCAGAATTGCAAAAGTCAAAACTTACTCCCCACGGCGATGGGCCTCTTCGAGTGTTGGAACGCATTAATGATAATGCTTACAAACTTGAACTCCCAGGTGAGTACCAAGTTTATGCTACTTTTAATGTTTCTAACTTAAGCCCTTTTGATGCAGCGGATGAATATCTTGTTCGGGAGAACAAGAAAGCTTTTCAAGAAGGAGGGAATGACGAGGACGTCAAATCTTCAAGCATTCAAATGCCCGTGGGACCCATCACTCGAAGCCGAGCTCGTCAATTTCAAAAATCCGTCACTGCATTGATCAGACGATTTTTCATGGAGAATCAATTTAAGGATGATGCTTGGAGACCACTTAGCCATCACCTGACGCTCCTTCAATGGGACCCGCAAGAATCCCAATTGAAAGATCAAGAGAATCGCTAATAATGGAAGGTTATCAAGGGAATCATCACTTATGGAGAGAATCACTAATTATGGAAGTATATCAAGAGAATCCTCACTTATGGAGAGAATCACCAATCATGGAAGTATATCAAGGGAATCATCACTTATGGAGAGAATCACTAAATCATGGAAGTATATCAAGGGAATCATCACTTATTTCCTTTTATTATAAGTTTCCATATAGTATAATTCCATATCTAAAACCCTAATTATTTATTTCCTTATAGTTAGACTTACCTTTTGGTTTTTTTCCTTTATTATTTGTTGCCTTTTATATTCCTCAAGGACCTCTATATAAGGTCTTTGCCTATCATTGTAATGCGGACCTTTTTTAAATCTTGAATTGAATTTCACTTTTATATTTTCTAGTATTAGGGAGTGATTTCCTCGCATTTAGAATCTCAAATCGGGTCTTTGGAGTGATTCCATCGGTTCGTGGCTTCCAATCCTTTGCAGTGGGATTTAGCCTATTGTTTGTGTTTTACCTATGGATTGATTTCAGGTCCGAGACTTATTCTCGTGGTTGGTTATCATCCATACTAATTCACATTCTCTGCACTATCTTTCTTCTTCCTTCTCTTTTCTTTTATACATATTCTTAATCCATTTGTTCTATTGAACTTTGTGGGTAAGAAAATTATGTTGGTTATAATTATACGCGGCCGGGCCGTGTCAAATCTTCTTGCCGTATGCGATTTCGACTTATTGTTTACTTATGTTTTGACTGGATGAGAGAGTTTCGTACATGATACATGGATATTTCTAGAAACAATTAATGATCCTAACTTAAATTTTCCAAAACCTCCGCCAGGTATTTTTTAATTTCAAATTATTTTTGTTGCATTTCTAGGAAATATTTTATTTGGCAAAAACAGATTATCCTAAAAGAGATGGTTTTTTTACACCATATCAGATGATAAGTACCATCAATCGGATTTTTATGGGAATGGTCCAAGGAGATATTGAAAAACCTTTAATTTCTATCATTCATCGTCAAGGAGTTCTATTGACAGGATTTTTGGGGTGTGTTCTTTCAACTTTTTTCTCTCACATGTTTTCTTTTAAAAAAAATATTAATATATCGCATACATTTATTATATTTATATTTCCTAGACAATTCTTCATACCTCATATTAAAAAAAAATACTCATTCAAATTATCTTACAAAACAAACACACCCTTAGAGTTCTCAAGGTTCGACGAAAAATACCCAAAGCAATGCCAATACATTCAATGTAACTCCAAAATTTAATCATCTATGCAACTTTTACTTTGTATAACTACATTAGATTGAGCAAGATTGTTGACCCTATATTTAAATCATGGATGATAATTCTAATTTTATCCCGTTGGATATTCGCATCGTGTGTAATCTTGAAGCTAATTCTGAACATGAAAATATTGAAAGTTCAACCTCCAAACAAATGTATAGAATTTCAGGACAATATTATTGTTGGTTTTATGTCAACTCACCAAATAAGCGAAGTCGACGGTTTTAGGTTGTATTATGTTTTGATTTTTACTTTTTGGATAACTTGTACTACATTATACATTCTTTAAAAAAGTATTTTATGTGACTCTTTTTTTTATTATGTCTCTTGGTGTTCTTTTTTTTTTTTTTTCATTATTTAGTAATTATTTTAGTATATTTTTATTTGTTAAAGTATAATTTTAGTTTTTGGAATTTAAAGCAATTAAGATTATTTTATTTTACATAAAAATTAATTTATTTTTTAAATATATAAATTTATAAAAATATTATTAATTTATTTGTATACTCCTTCCGTCCCGCTTATCGTGTCCACCTTTCCATTTTTGTCTGTCTCACTTATTATGTCATTTTTTTTGGAAAAGAATTATACACTTTAATCGCATATTAAAATTTTTTAATTTTTAATTTTAATTAGACTAATTGGTTATTGTAATCTTAATCTAAAATTATTTTTATTATACGATAATTATTTTAACTAATACATTCTTAATTATTTACAAATTATACTCATCCTAAATTCTCATGTTTACAGTAAACGAGACAGATAGCCGGAACGGAGGGAGTATATTTTAGCACGTAAATTCTATGTTAAAAATAAATAAAACAAAATAAAATAATTTGGAATTATAAATTTAGTAAAATAGTAATTTAATCAATATTTAACATAATAAATATATATAATAATTATATAATAAAATATAAAAATACTTTTAATTTTCATTTTACGTATAAACAACTAATTTCGATAAGCTAATTTACCAAATATTTTACCATAAACAATTAATTGAATCAACTAGTCAAATCAACTAATCGAATCAGCTAACAGCTAAAAGTAATGACTAATTGCTACACATCTCTTTTATCCCCTCACAAAAAATCAACAATTCAACACAAAATATTATGATTTCTATTAATATAAAAAAAACACATTAATAAAAACATATAAAGTTAACGCACCAAATATTCACATAATATTTATATATATATATATTAACAACTTTCACTTTTTTTGTTTTTTTTTTTTTTTATAGCTTTTAAGGTATTATCCATCCAACAATTGTCTTTCTATTGAATCATAAATATTTTTAAATGTGAAAATTTTAGGAGGAAAATAATTAATTTTATTAATAATGAAGTCAAGATCTATCCATAGGAATAGTTCAAAATGGATATAAAGAAACAATAAAATAAAAAGATAAATAATAAATATTTTAAAATCCCCCCCCCCCAAACTCAAGTAGGCGTCGGAAAAGCCAACTTGAGTTTGTGTAAGATACTGAAATCGAGCAGGATAATGTGATATAGTGAAAATATCTGCAGTTTGATCGTCGAAAGAGACGGAGCATAACTTTATGTTGCCATGATTAAGATGATGACGAACCATATGACAATCAATCTCGATGAATTTGGTGCACTCGTAAAAAATATCATTGTGAGAAATCTGGATAGCACTCCTATTGTCGCAATGCAGAAGAATAGCAGATGACTGTGGTACTCCAAAGTCATCAAGTAACCAACGAAGCCACAGGAGCTAAGAAGTAGTATCATCAAGAGCACGATATTCGGATTCAGTGCTGGAACGAGAGACAACAGTTTGGTTCTTACTACACCATGAGACAAGAGAATCACAAAAAAAGTAGAAACTAGTGGTGTAGCGACGATCATGACGATTGCCTGCCCAATCCGTATCAGAGTAACCAGAAAGTTAATGGAGACTGATATGAGAAGTGTAATCCATGCAATCGTGTTCCCTTAGCATAACGAAAAATACGCAGAACTGCAGAGTATTGAGTAGTGCGAGGTGCATAAATGAACTGACTAACCAGATAGACAACGTAAAAAATATCAAAATGACTGACTATCAAGTAAATCAAGGTCCTAACAAGCTGGCGATAATGAGAAGGATCTTGAAGAAGGGTCTCATCCATTGATGTAAGGCAATATCGAGCGTCGAGCGGTGTCGAAGCTATCTTGCAATCAGTGAGACCAATACGACACAACATATTAGAAACATACTTAGCCTGAGACATGGAATATCAATTAGGACCATTAGAAATCTCAAGACTCAAGAAATACTGAAAGTGGCCAAGACTCTTCATATCAAAATGTTGCCGAACGTAGATATGAATCATATATACCAGACTGATCATCTCTAGTGAAGATCATATAATCAACATAGAAAAGTAACACAATGGTACCAGAAGAACTTCGTTGAATAAATAAGGCAGATTCGTGCAAACTAGAAATGAAGCAAACTGAAAAAGAGTTGAACTGAACTTAGAAAACCAAACATGTGGAGCTTGTTTTAAGCCATAAAGAGCACGCTGCAAGTTGTAGACTTTAGAAGAAGATGGAAAATCTAGAGGCAATTCCATATAAACATTCTCAGAGAGATCACCGTGGATAAAAACATTCTTGACGTCCAACTGCAAGAGAGACCACTTATGAACAACTACAATTGTAATTAAACAACGAATAGAGATAAGACAACAAAAGTCTCCTTGTAATCAAGCCATATTTTGGTGAGTAGCAGTTCACAACTAAAGGAGCCTTGTAACGCTCAAAATTACCCATCGGACTTAGTTTTAATCTTGAAAACTCATTTTCAGCCAATAGGAATTATATATTGATGTAAATCAACTAAGTCTCATATATGATTCTTCTCTAAAGCCTGCAGTTCTTCAAACATCGTTTGTTGCCACAATGGATCAAAATTTGCTTTATGAAAAGACCTAGGCTCATACATAGATTGGATAACGGAAAAACAGTGATAATCACGCAAATGAGTAGGTGAATGACTTACTCGATGTGATCGACGAGGTATGAGAGGTCCAAGCACTGCAGTCGGATCAACATCTGTAGACGAGGTCGGAGGTGGATCATAAGTCTCAACTGAAATAGAATACAGAGGTGAAGATGGAGTCGTAGGGTCAAAATCATAGAATAAGGGAGGAGATGATGACACGAATGAAGGTGAACCGGAAATAAATGAGACATGAAATTTAGACATGGTGAAAAATATGACACTCCTCCAAAAGTAACATGACAAGAGATACACAATCATCTAGAGATCGAATCCTAAGATTATAACTTTTACACTCTATCTCATAACCGAGAAGACAACATAGACATGCACGAAGTTCCAATTTGAAACGTTCACACGGAGAAATAAGGACAAAACCAACACAACCGAATGGACGGAGGTTACTATAATCGAGTAGCTGACCGTATAGACGTTCAAAAGGAGTAACATTATGGAGAACGGGTGATAGAATACGATTTATAGTATATACAGTAGTAAGGGCAGCTTCCCCTAGAACGTATTAGGATATGAGACAGAGAAAAAAGACGCACATACAATATCTAGAATATGATGATGTTCGCGCTCAGTGCGACCACTTTTTTGAGAGATATATGGACATGAACACTGCATGAATGTACCATAAGCAGAGAGAAAGTTTAAAAAGATAGAATCTTTATACTCAAGGCCATTATCAGTACGAAGGGTCTGTATAGAACAAAAAAACTGAGTTCAAATCATTTAGGCATATTGAGTGTATATTTGAGGTGATTTTGAACGGTGTTTAAAAAAAAATCTATGTAAAACAAGAGTAATCATCTATGAATATGACATAACTACGACATTCACTTATAGAGAGAACAAGAGAAAGACCCCAAATATAATAATGAACCATAGAAAATAGTTTACTTACAATCGACACATTTTTTTTAAAAAGATAAGGTTGATTATTTTCCCAATATGCAATCAAATTAGTCAAAACTAGTATAACCCAAATGATCCTTACTAACCAGAGACTAAATTTTATAAGAGGATGCATGACCAAGACAAAGTTACCACTGGAGACTAGGGGAATGAAGAATAGTAAGAGGAGTATGAGTAACAACAAGAGAAAAATTATGGGAAGAAAATTTCAAAGACTGTACCTCAAATAATCAACCTATATTTCAATTTGTCCCAAGAATTTGACCTGTATGTTGATCCTAAACCTGCATACCATAAGAGAAGAAAGGAACAATAAGTCTCTGGTCAACAAATTAGACAACTGATACAAGATCTAGAATCAACTGAGGAATGCAGTAAGTATCAGAAAGATATCTAAATGGTAGAGATACAGATTTTGAATGAGTGATATTCATGTGGCTTCCATTAGCAGTCTGTATAGACGGTGAAGAGGACAAATGATACGAACAGGTCAAAAATCTAAGTATAGGTGTCATACGATTGCAGCAACCGCAATCAAAATACAACCTAAGACTACCTGAATTGGCCATGAAATGAGAGGAACTTGAAGCAAGAACTTATGTGAGAAAGTCACAATATTCTTGATACTTGTAGATACAGGCATAAGATGACCGAATATTTTGTGCATTCCGAGGTGGTCGAACATGAAAAATTTGAATGACATGACCTTGACGATGACAATAACGATACTCCACCGTCATAATACAACTGCCGACAGATTACAGAAATCAGATAGAGAAATCTGAAAAAATAAATAAATTCTCAAAAGGAAAATAAATTACACTATCAAATAGAGAATAATTTTTCGAGACTACCGCCAGAAAAATCGCCGGTTTTGGAGCTACCACGCGCCAGTCGAAGTTCTGGTAGCATGAACTTTGACCCGTATGTGGGCTCTACACGTGCAACCGTTCACCGCCAAATTTTGGTGGTTGGCCGGTTTTTGGACGGCGGTTTTGGTGGTACTGGAGGTGTCGACCGGAGATGTTTAGAAATAGAGACGATAATGGCCTCAGTTGTCTAATTTCTTTTAGGTTTATCGGTAAAAATTTGGCTTTGATACTAGATAAAAATTTAGAAGAAATTAATTCCATTAATAATAAAATCAAAACTTATAAGCATATTCCAAAACATATAAAAATAAACAATAAAATAAACAAATAAATAATAAGTATTCCAACATTTAAAGATATTAAAATTCAATATTTTTTAATTTTTTATATAATTGTAATATATATTAATTACTTTAAATAGTGGTAAACATGAACAAGAATTAAGTTATTAAATAAAGGTTTACAACACAACCATATTTAATCATAGACAGAATCATGTATATAATCGGCTATTGATATTTAGAATATATCCGTAAACAACACAGTTATGTTTAGAACATGACAATAAACAAATTAGATCACAGCCATGATACTCAGCTTTTCGAGCCCACACAGAGATGTAGGTATGTTTCTTTAGTCCACTTTCAATAAAAAAATAGAGAAATGTACAGTAACTCCTACAAAAATAGAATTATGAGATAAAGATGTTATTAGTATGATTTGAGAATTTTTAAGTGTATGGGAACTATTTGGCTTCAACTAAGCGCCAACCTCCCTTACTTACATGACAGGTAGGCTTACTCTCGTAGATCTGAGACTCGACTCATTTATTTGGGGTCGGGTCTAGGGTTTAATAGCAGACCCTATCATACTCAGATCGAACTCGGACCCGATTAATTAAATGATAAATTTATTAGTATTATTATTATTAGTGGTGGTGGTGGCAGCGAAGGCGTCAAAGCGGTATGGGTGAAAATTTATATTTATTGTATATATTTTTAATTTATCTTTTTGAAATAAATAGATACTATTTTTTTAGGTAAGTGGTTCGAGTAAAGCTTGTGTTGAAATTTTTTAAATTTGGCGGGTCCGATAGGTACATCACGGGTAGTACCCGAATAGATACGGGTCCAGATACATTAGAATCTGAATAGGGTCTTGGATCGAGTAATATACATATAGATAGGGTCTCGAATTCATCTATACCTGACCCATATTTTATCAATTGTCATCTCTATCCGTAGGTGATTTTTTTTTTTTTTTTATTAAACACAACAATACACATACTATTTTGCACAACCGTGCAACAACATATGTTTATTTAATTATTTAATAATTATATTTAATAAAATATATAAAATATAGATATAATTTTGTGAAGAGTTTTTTTTATATATAATATAAATATTCATTTATAATTAACATAAATTAATACTTAAATCACACTATTATTAATTTTATAAATTTAATTGTATTGACATTTATATTATTATACTCCCACAGTACACAAACTAATCTTTTATTTTCATATTTGGAACCTTCAATAATTGTTGTCTTATTTTATTTTTAGACAATTTTTTTTATATATATTTTTATCCTTAATTCATTTATCAATTTTATTTATTTATTTATTGTATATTTTCTCTACCTTACCACAAGGTATAAAATTGTCAATTCATACCAAAATATACGTACTTGAACAATAAAATTTGGCCAGAAGCAATATTTTTTAACTATCTAATCAATACATATTAAAACTCCCAAAATTCAAACCAAACTTGCAAAGTTTAAAAAAAACAAAAAAATTCAAATCAATTTAAAAACCAAATCTAATAAACTCGAGTTTAATTTTTCCAAACTTCCTCAAAATAAATGCACTCGCATTATATGATTAAATTAATCATCATGTACTCCATCCGTCCTATTGGAAGGGTGACATTTGTTTTTTTCACATAAATTTTTAAATATTAATATTATATTAAATTGTAGTAAAAAAAACAAAAATACCCCTATTAGTATGGTGTAATATAAAAGTAATGACATTTGTGTAATATAATGTAAATTGAAAGAGTATTTATTATGTTAGGTAGGTAGTACAATTACTAAATTAGGAAATGATAACCTTATTTTGGGATAGACGACAATAAAAAATGGTAACCTTTCAATGAGACGGAAGGAGTATATGTATACAAATATATTTTTCATAGATAATATAATATAATGAAAATAATTTTGTAATCAACAAGGGACTTAGAGTTTGTATGTTTAGTGTTTTGATTTGAAATTTTTTTTTATGTGAATATAAATAATTGTGTCGGTAATATAAAAAAATAATACTACCTCCGTCCGACTCTAAGGTTCCATTTATTTTTTGTGTGTTGATATTTGAATATTAATTATAATGACTGCTACAGTGTTGTGTTCACTACAAAAAAAATTGGAAATTGCAATGGAATATTGCTACGGAATACAATCTATTGCAAAATTGCAACGAAATTTGCTAGGCAACAAAGAAATAATCTCAATTGCGATATGTTGTGAGAGAATACTGCAATAGAATAGATTTGTCACAAATATTTTTGAAATTATACAAGGAATATAATATTCAGTTGCAAAATTGCGACGGAAATAGCAACATATTAAATTTGTTGCAGATTTCCCAAAAATTATGCAACGAATAAAATATTCCGTTACAAAATTACGATGGAAATAGCAATAGATTAAATCTATTGCAGATTTTCAAAAAATTAAGTTCAAATAAAAAAAATTAATTTTTTAATTTTATAAATAATTTAATAATTATTATTTTTTTAAATTTTTAATTTAATTTTTAAAATTTTAAATTTTTAATAATTAATTTTATTTATTTATTAAAATCATATATATAATTAATTAATTAAATTATTACAATATAAAAATAATTAAAATAATAAATATAGTAAATAATTAAATTATAAAAATATTATAATAGATAATAAAATAATTTAAATTATAAAATATAAAATATAAATTAAAAAATATTAATAGTATTATTATTTTTTAATATTATTATTGTTATATTTTAAATTTTAATTATAGATATAATAATATTATTATAAAATATTAATAATTTAATCCTAATGTCTAATTAATACTTAGCCATCACGTCCACACTCCACGGATACAGCAGCAACCCTCGCAAACAGGTTCTTCTCTTCCTTCGTCAGTTGCAGCCGCGCCTGCGCCCGCACACACAGGTTCTTCTCTTCCTTCGGCCGCCGCAGCCGCGCCTGCGCCCGCACACACAGGTTCTCCCTCTTCCTTCTTTCTTCCTCCCATTTCTTTCCTTTCTCCTCCTTTCCTCCTTTCTTCTTCTTCCTCTTCTTCTTCTGCTGGTTTGAGAAAATCTAAACCGAAACCAAACCGTTTTCGATCGTCTTCGAAAGTCATCGTCTTCGATCGTTTTCTCATTTCTTCTAGGGTTTGCTTTGCGATTCATCGGTAGAACTCTTCACTCTTGGTAAGTTTTCCATCAATTTATTCATTTCTTTCGAGAAATCTGTTTGATCCCCTTCCTTGTTAATGTTAGCGGTTTCATTTGAATTTCTAGGATTGTTATTCGCGAGACGACCGTGAAAAAGAAAACAACATAGTTCTTCACTTGTATCTGATCGGAGTTTATTGCGCACATCGAACACGTTTAATTGTAAGCGCGAGGCGAATCGAACCATCTCAATTTTTAGTTTCTCTTTTATTTGATGAGTATTTGTATTTCGATGTACAACGTGATTCGCGATTTATATCCTGGTGCTACGTGTTGGAATTTGAATTTGAATTTGTGATTATAATCGATATTGTTGTGTTTTTATGCAGCATGAATTTTCCGATTATAGTTGGATTTTGCGAATTTTTACAGTGAATTGCTGGATCTAGTTTGATCGATTGAAACTGAAAATCATGAATTATATGTGAAGTATACCATTTGTTCATTAGTAGAATCGATAAACCTCTTTCATGTCATCTGGAAAATTGGTCTATATTTGTATGTAATTGATTCAGATTAGTTGTTGTGAGCTCTGTTAAAAGTTTTACTTCAAAAGAGATCTGTTATTAGTTATTACCTTTCGAATTTATCGAATTCTTGTCTTTCTGAATTGCATTTAACTGTTTACAAGGGAAGAACTGAATGACATAATGGAATTAAAGGGAGGGAAGAACAAGTCTAGTAGTAAAAACTTATCATATGAAGCTCCTCTCGAATACACAATCGAATATGTTCGCCCGAACGGAGGAATCAAGAAGTTCCGATCTGCTCCATACTCCAACGTGAGCTTTACTTGTTACCCTGTAATATTTATCCAGTTTATGATTAATCTTGTGCTGTTATATGCATTTTATTTGTCAACTTTTTGAAATTCAGTGTGCTCGGAAGCCATCCTGATATTCGTCAAGCTCTGTGATCATAACCAGTTCTTCAGCTTTCAAACTCTGCTTTTGTATTATTTCCTCGCGCCTTTTCCTACTGAATCAAAATGGCTATGGTGCCCTCGGCAATCGGTTTTGAAGGTTATGAGAAAAGACTTGAGATATCGTTTTTCAATCCTGGAATATTTGCTGATCCTGAGAACCGTGGCCTCCGAGCTCTTTCTAAAGCGCAGTTGGATGAAATTCTGGCGCCAGCAGAATGCACGATTGTCGCATCATTATGCAACGATGAAGTTGACTCCTATGTGCTGTCGGACTCTAGCCTTTTCGTGTACCCGTACAGGATGATCCTCAAAACTTGTGGGACTACTAAATTACTGCTCTCGATCCTGCCCGTCGTTAATCTCGCTGGAACGATCGGGCTCATGGTGTGCTCTGTCAAATACACTCACGGATGCTTTATGTTCCCGGGCGCTCAGTCGTATCCACATCGAAGCTTTTCTGACGAAGTCGCTGTTCTCGATCGCCATTTCGCCAAACTTGGCCTCATCAGCGAAGTTCACGTGATGTGCGGCGACGACAGGCGTAATAAATGGCACGTCTACTCCGCCTGTGCTAAATCGGATAGCGTCGAGTCGCGTGTTTACACGTTGGAAATGTGCATGATGCATTTGGATAAGAATAAGGCATCGGTGTTCTTCAAGAATCGCTCGAGCTCCGCAAATTACGGTATTCATACTAAATACATTGTGTTTTTGGTCTATTAATAGTGTTTAAATTTGAAAATTTTATATGATTTCAACTAGTTCTTGTATCTTTGAGAAGATATATTAATTGAATCATTAAATTTATTGATTATGGAGGATTGAATTAATATTTTTTAGATAGATATTGGAAAAAAAATTGACAAGAAATGAGCAAAAGAAATTGTAAAAATTGCGACGGAATTAGCAATAGTTATATTCTCTCGCAATTTGCTATTCTATTTGCAACACATATATTCTTTTTTAAAATGCGTTGCAAAAACTTGCAATAGAATTAGCCACAAATTTTTTCCATTATATTGCACTATGATAACAATATATTTCTGTAGTAAAATTCCGTAACAAAAAATTGCGATAGAAATGACTGTCACTGATTCTATTGCAATTCTCTGCAACGGAAAATTTTAATTGTCACATTGGGTTACTACAATAATATTTACTACAACTTCTACTTGGTCGCAAATTCCGTTGTAATTGAAAGTTGTGACAGAAATTTTGTCAGTTGTGACGGAATTTTTCCGTAGTAATTTGTAATTTTTTTTGTAGTGGTTACATTGGACACCACACAATATATGTTAATATAATACAAATACAGCACATGACTTAAAACACATATTATAGTCTCACACAACATATACAATACTTGATTTTAGCCCATGACATACTCTCATACAACAACACAAGCTGTAATTATGAACAAACAACATATTTCTTTATTACATACAACATATGTTGTTTGTAATAAAAGCATATGTTGTTCGTAATAAAAGCATATGTTATTTCTGTATTTTACGGGTGCTAATTTAGAAAATCAGTGTGGTGCTTATTTTTCAAATTTAGCACCGTAACCTTCTCCATTAATTATTATATAAAAAATGTAGTACTCCCTCCGTCTCAGACACCCTGCAACTTTTCATTTTTTGTTTGTCCAAAATTCACTGCAACATTTCCAAATTTAGAAATAATTAATAATATTTTTATACATATATTAATATACACTTCACTTTATCCCATCACATCACACAAATAAAAAAAAACAAATAATCATTAATCTCTCCAATCACATCACTTAATATCCAAATTATTTCAAATTATCATACTTAATACTCTCCACCTAAATTCTCGTGCCAAACACAAATGTTGCACGGTGTTTGAGACGGAGGGAGTATAAATTAAGAAAAATTACAAAAATACTTTAATTAGTGTATTATAATATTCATAGAAGTACATTTGTACAAAAAAATTATACAAATATAAGGATATTTTTAATGTTAAGTAAAATGACTCAAAAGGTAAATTTTTAATATTAAATACAATGAAAAAAAAATATGACCCTCAGAGGCAGACGGAAGAAATATTTTATGTTAAATATTTACTTTTATGAGAAGAAAATATATACTCCATTTGTCTATATGTTAATATTAATTATTATACTTCCCCAATCTCATAACAAAGTATTCATTTACTATTTGTATCGTTGTATATAACATTAAAAATATTATTAAATTTGTATAATTTTTATACAAATGCCATTATATTAATATTATAAGATACTAATAGAAGTACTTTTGTCGTTTTTTCTTGATTTATAATACGTTCGAATATAATAATTAATATTCAAATATCAATATGTAAAAAATAAATAAATACTTAGTTACGGGAATGGATGGAGTATCAAAATATATTACAAATCAATAAAAAATGACAAAAATAATAATATAATGACCCAAATAATAAATGAATGAAGTATATATATATATATACCCGAAATCTTGTAAAACAAAAAAGTTAGGAGCAAACAAATCCTTAGGGTCTGTTTGGTTCAAATGAGGGAAGGGGAGTGGAGGGATTTTAATAGAAGAGAGAGGAGGCGAAGAGATGAGAAAAAATATTAAAATTGTAATAGTGTGTCTGGTTTATATAAGAGGGAATTGAGGCGAGGCGAGGGAAAATATTATTTTTGTGTTTGGGAAGGGAAAATATAATAATTTTACTGTTCTACCACTGTGTTATATAAATAAAAAAATAAAAGTATTTAATAAAATTTGATTAATTTATTTATAAAATATGATACAAATTTATTTGTGTAATATAATAAAAATAATTATTACATTATTACATCTTGGAATAATCAAATACTTTATACATTAGTTATTTATTAAATTTACCAATAAAAATAAACAATAGTTTTCGTGTATAAATAATAACACTATAATAAAAATTATATAAATTAAATATATTATAAAAATATTTTATATTTTATAATTTATAATTTTTTAATATTAATTAAACTATTTAGTTATCTTAATGTTAATTTATAATTATTTTACTATACAATAATTATTTTTACTAGTACACTTCTTAATTACTTACTAATTATATTTTATCTAAATTATCGTATCTATAATGATATGCTCATTTTACCTGATACAAAAGAAATAAAATATTAATATTATTGATATAATTATATTCTAATTTATAATTTATTAAAAAATTATTATAATTAAATTTGATTAAAAAATTAATTAAAACTATTTCAAAATATATAATATAATTTTAATATATATTAATTTTTACTTAATATAATTAAAAATAAAATAAATAAATATTAAAATTTTTAAAAATGATAAAAAATTTCTAACAAAATATATAAATAGTATAATAGATAATTAAATTAAAAAAAAAATCGATAAAATCTTTTCCCTTCAAATTTTTTCAAATTAAAAAAAATAAAAATAAAAATAAAATAGAGAAAGTGAATTATTTTTATAATTCCCAACCCTTCTCTCCTAAACCCTCAAACCAAACCGACAAAGATAGTACCTTTCCGATTTTGTTTTTGATTTTGATTTTCGTTCCCACTCCCAATCCCAATCCCAGCCGGTAATTCGTCGCAGTATCAGATCGAGTCGAGTATGGATGTGGAAGTTGAAGAAGAGCAGGAGCGAATTCCCTTTAGCCAGAGGCGTGAATGGGCCGACGTTTGCCCCGTGCCGCAAGAAGATGGCCCCAATCCGGTTGTTCCGATTGATTATACGGATGACTTCAGAGAAACCATGGATTACTTCAGAGCTGTATACTTAGCCGATGAGCGATCTCCGCGCGCGCTTCAGCTCACTGAAGAAACGATATTTCTCAATCCTGGGAATTACACTGTACGTGTATTGTCTTGACTAGTTTTGACTGGATTGTTTTTCGTTGGTGGCCTGCTGGTGTGATGTGTGCTCCATTTTTGTTAATTAGGTGTGGCAATTCCGACGTTTGATACTTGAGACGCTTAATGTCGATTTGCGCGAAGAGTTGCGTTTTATTGAGCAGATAACTCGAGATAATTCCAAAAATTATCAAATATGGTGAGCAGTGTTGATTTTGTGATCCATCTTATTGTGTTGAATCTAATTTGATATTGGATTTACATGAAAAGGAAAACTAATACCAAGTGGTGGGTTCATATGATTTGTATTTGAAATTTTGTGTTTTTAGCACGTACAGTTTGCTTGCTAGATTGCTTCAATTGGAATTGGCAGAACTTGTTAATTATACCCTCTTTCAAATTAGGATTAAAATTTTTCTCTAGTTGTCATTACTCATTTTTTAGTTTTATCTGTCTTTACATTTGTGTAATTTCATCTCCTGCATTGATGAGGTATTTACAGCTATGAGACTATGATCCATGGGTTCAGAGAGCCTTTATGCTATATTGCATTGTTGATTACTATGATTCCCGAAAAGTTGTAGCTTTGCTTTCCTAAATTCAGTTTTTGGTGGAACATTGATTACATGGATTAAATGTTTCTTGGCAAAATTTTTAGCAATTGAAGTTTTCTATTTCTATTCAACAATGCTAAATCTCTAGCATCAAGAGCATTGGAAGCTTCATTTTTCTTTTGGGAGTTCTGGCTCTGTATATTCCCTGTGTCGGTTTCGTGATTCCAATCTGTCTTCAGATCACTTCTGATAGCAGGAAATTACAGCTGGGCTTTTTGTGCTTTGGATAATTGAAAGTTCATTTGGTGCATTCATCAATTTAAAGAAGTCTAATGAGGCAATAGTATCTGTGTTTTGCATATATATCCAAGAGCAAAATCGATTGCTTTGGTTAAATCAATGAGGGGAGAACTTGATAGTGGACACCAGGGGAAGAAATTGTTAAAGGCTAGAACTAGCATCTAAGCTTTCTAATACAGAATCCAAAGAATTATGATTGGTCGAAGAAGAAGTATTAAAGCTCTTAGAGCCCTCAATCAAAAAATGGGACAAATAAAACCCCAGAAAGCTAGGTGTCTAGTTTGGGATAGAGGCTTCATAAGGTGCAGCTGGATTCAGTTCAGGTTCATTTTAGTTTTAGGTCCAGGTCTAAGTAATGTGTGATCCAAGAATAAATAAATGATGAATATAGAGCATCAGAATAATTGATTCAAATTTTAGTCACACCATGGGTAAATTAAGAGTTGGTACAATGAATACAAGTTGTGAGATCACGATCAGTGGATGTTTCGTTGATTGCAAAGTAATCAATGATGCTGCAAGAATTAGATTTATCACTGAGTTGATTAAAAACAGTTTGTTTACACACGATGTTATATTACTACTCATTTTTGTGCACTTCTAATCGATTCACATACATATAAGTGCATCACTCTCCTCTTCATTTTCTTTGGTTCAGGTAAGTTTGCTTTGATGGATTTTCCTTTTATTATCATTTTTTTCTATTCTTGTACTGCTCCATCTCTGAATCTCTTGAATCAACCCTGAAAAAAAATAACTGGTCATTTTAAGGCATCACAGACGCTGGGTTGCCGAGAAGCTTGGAACGCAAGTAACTAATAAAGAACTTGAATTCACAAGGGAAATCTTCTCGAAGGATGCGAAGAACTATCATGCTTGGTCACATAGGCAGGTGGGCAGGAATCTGATCTTCCTTATGTTCACGGGTTACCAAGTTAAATTTAAAAAACAGCATCAAACACTTTTAGGATTCTTGTATTTTATTTTATATATTTAATTTTTTACAAATTATAGTAGAATTTGTCTGTGCAGTGGGTTCTTTTGGCTCTTGGAGGATGGGAAGATGAGCTTTCGTACTGTGATGAGCTCCTAGAGGATGATATTTTCAATAATTCTGCTTGGAATCAGGTAAGTTTTGTACTTAGTTGAGCACTCGTTTTGTTCAATATTTATTATTGATTTAGTGTTCAGGATGCACCGAGCAGTGAATCTGTTGACAAACTTAGTTGTTTCTATATCCATCGGATTTTATGCCTGAAAGGTACTTTTAGATCCATGATAGTTTCAATAATTCAATCAGGCAGGATGTTTTGTTAGCTATGCTTGTGTTTGGTTCAATATTTACTAGTGTTGAGCATGCAATGAGCTGTGACTCTGGATAATCTTAGTTATCTTTTAGATCCATGAGCTTTTATACCTGAAAGGTACTTGGCACAGTGAACATTGACAGGCAGGGATATATAGCTCAGGAGTAATGGGTATGTACTAGAAATACCACTTGGCATGCTAGAATATTTTAAAAAAAAATCTGAAAAGATGGATCAAGTTTGAGACATGGTTAGAAAGCATGCCGATTTTGACCTGTCTTAGGGTTAGTTAGAATCATGGTTTGCTCATTCAGTTATTTAGAAGGAATCTTTCTTGCAGAAATATAAATCTACCCAATGCACCTTTCTTCTTTTATTGATTTGCATGTATATTATTTTACCGAAATACATTTCCCAGGCCAGGACGCTGATATTTCATAACATTTTATTATGACTTTTACTAGCTTCGGCTTTTCAGTACTATATCTCTATTATGTCTCTCTTTTTGGTAGATCAATATTTTTGTGAAAATATAAGGAATGGTATTTCTCAAGCAGACGCTGCTCATTGGTAATTTGATTATCCAGGATAGACTGTTCCTTCCTTAGCTCCCGCAATTCTGCCTCCTTTTTCTGAATGGATTCATCAACTTGAGCCTTCGTGCTAAGGAGACCGCCCAACCTTCCAGTAGTTTGCTGAAGGGATTCTCGGGTCTTAGCCAAAGAATTCTCCAGTGTTGTTTGATCGAAGACAGGCTGTGGGGTTTCGGCTGACAGGAGTCCAATAACTAACACTTCAGTCTTGAGCTCCGTAAGTCTCTCCATCAGCCGATGCAGAATGGGGACGGCTGGCGATTCCGTTGGAGTGTAAAAAAGAAGGCCACCAACCGTCTGAATGAGATTGTCCAATAAGTCGGATCTTAATTCTGAAAGGGGATGGTTAATGGCCTCGGTGAATATAGTTTGGGCCTCCGCTGGAACCGGAACAGTCGATAGGATAGCTAAGTCCGAAGGCCCCTGCAAGTCTTACAGTTTCAATAAGTATTCCAAGGGAGGTGCAAAATTATTCAGATAAGATATGTGTCACCTCTGGGCGAACTGCTGTCAGTGAAGGGGGCAACAATGAGGTCGGTCGAGTAGGGCGGACAGCTGGTATAATAGCAGCCGACTCGTCGGCTGCTGCGAATGGTCGCTGAGGTGCCGACCTGGGTCCCTATGGAAAGTAGTATATAAAACAGTTAGTGTTTTTTTAGAAAGAAACATTGTGGCATGAATTGGTTTAATCTTACCAAATTCACAAAAGTCTCCGAATCGGACGAAGAAAGTTCTTCTAATTCTGGAGGTTGGGCTGCCACAGGTGGTTCTTCTGCCTGCCACTCGATTGCTGGAGGTAGCGCCGCTGCTGGCTGGGCGGCTGCAGGTTGGGCAGCTGCATCTAGAGCCACTGCAGCCGGTATCTCAGGAGCAACTGGGATAGCCGCAGCCGAGGCACTTTCGGTTTCCAGCGCAGCTGCATCCGATTGGACTATTTCGGGATCAGCAGCAGCAGGGATGTCGTCTTGAGGGTCAGCTTTGGCAAGGGCAGCTGGTTCTTCCTTCGAAATGGATGAGTCTGATGCCATGTATGGCGGTCGACCCATCTGGGAAGTAGTCCCCTCGCTGTCTGAAGAGACCCCTGCTGCTGATGCGATTAGTGAAGGTGTCTGTGAAAAATTAGGGAAATGTTGTTAACTACACCAGGGTTGATCATCAGAATCCTGAGTATTGCTGACGAAGAGGACTTACTGGTTCTATAGGCAGTGCTGGTAAAGATTGCCTCCTGGTCGGGGGCCTGGCCCGACCGCTCCTCGGTGCAGGAGGAAGAGTTTGCTTCCTTGTCGGGTCCTCCGCCCGGCTGCTCATTGGCAAAGTGAGAAGTGGAGTAGGGGTTTGGCGAGGAAGTGCCTGAGTCTGGACCAAAGGTATGATTGATTGGTCGGCTGGGGCTGGCGTCGTTTGTGTGGTTGGTGTTACCAAGGTCGGTTCTGGTGAATGAAATGAGTGAAATCAAAGTTAAGATATAGTGAGTTGGTTCACGGTTTTTCAGAAAAATTACCTATTCGGGGTCGGGTCCTTGCTGACGTCCTAGTAGTTCCAAGGTCCGCCGGAGTTTGCTGGTCGGCCCCAGAGGTCGGGGGTGTTTGCAGCTGGGAAGCTTTCCTTTTCCGCATTGGAACGCTAGATCCGATTCCCGGGGCGGCTGTTTGTTGCTGAGTGCTAGTATGTCTAGCCGCTCCTAGAACCAATCCTTGGGGGGAAGGAGTACGTTCAGCAACCGATCCTCATCAGGAGAAATCAGGGGCCATACAACCGACCACCATTCATTGAATATATCTACAGTCTAAGGGTTGGAGCGGAAAGGAATATAAGAATTGGAAACTATATACGTGGTGAGCTGGGAGATATAAGAAGGGATCGAATTAGGTAGGACTCGTCGGTCAGGACTTTGAAAAATTATATGAGGACAAGCGACGGGTCCAGGGATACCTTGGCAGCAGCCGAACTGGCGCGCCATGAATTGAGGTTCATAATTAAAGGTGCAAAAAGTTTTTTGCCCTTTTTTATCAAGTTTTTTGCTGCTAAAAAGAGACCTGGGTTTGAGGGCAACGTCCCAGGCAAAAGGATAGGTGGGATGAGGACAAGGCTCAGGAGTCGGAAGAGGATTTGGTGCCGGAAAGGGCCAAAAGTGGTCGGGAGCATAACCCGCATATTTTTTATACATAGAAAATCGAGAATTACTGCGGGTATCTGTTAAAATTGTGGTTATTATTGGATCGGAGGATTGGAGTTTACTGCGTCCTGAGCAGAGTCGGTTGAGGGCTAATCCCAAATGTTTTTCGGATATTGGCATAGTGGGCGGAGATCCTAAGTTGAACGCGTTGGGGAAGTACAGACGGGACCAAAGTTCTAAAAACCAAAAAGGACCCGATGCGGCAGTGTCTAATTTTCTATTATCATTATCTGTTAAACGAAGGCTAACCCTGGTGAGTCCTTCGAACAGATTGGCTAAAAACAGGGTGCCAAGGGAAAAGAACCGACCTGACGCGATATGAATGGCCAGGTCGAGATGAGAAGAAAGAACGCATTTAGAAGGGGAAACAATAACGTACCTACAAAGCCAAAAAAGAATAAAGGCAGTATGCTCCCGGTCGGTCACGGGGGTCCCTGGAGCCCCTTGCTGGTCGGTTGCGAACTTTGTCCAGCCCCATTCCTTCACGCCTTGTAAAGACCACCCTGGATGGTCTTCTGGTGGCTCCTGCCCATCTAGGGCTCCTATCACAGGGTCTTCACCCACGACTGGGAGATGCGCGATCATCGCCACATCCATGAGAGTCGGACCAAAGGGGCCCGACAGTAAGAGAAAAGTCCCATTTTCCGCATTCCAGAAGGCAGACATGGCTAGGAGCACCTTCTCGTGCAGATTGATCGGCATGGTGGACAATAGTATTGCTTGGTCGATTTTTTGAGATCGCCATTGGGTCTGGAAGTGTTCTGCTACCCGTCAATACCAAGAGCGGTAAGGATCTTTTGGGTCTGTGAGATGGGTTTTGATGCTGTCTCGAATGCGAACTGCTTGGTAGTTAGGGTTGTTGATGGCCAAGGAATTTCGGGATTCCAAAACTTCCCTCATCCGATTTGAGTGTTCAGGTGTAGTGCAGTATGGGCGAATCGTCGGAGTTAATACTTTCGAGGCTGAAAAGGGGCCCTCTGGGAGGTTTCCGTCGAAGGGAAGGGCAGGAATGTATCGATTCGCCATGGTTAGAGTGATTGAGATTGTGATTCATAAAGGCTCGTATTGCGGAGAAGGAAGTTAATCAGGAGTGTTGCAGTAACTGGTGCGGTTGCTAAGGGAATTTTTCAAGAGGATGGTGATTTATGAACTTCCAAACATCGATTGATAAATGGCGTTTGAAAGTCCCTTGGCGGCGGGCAAGTTGTTACGTATGAAATTTAGAATTAGGTTAAAAAGCCCAAGGTAAAAGGTTGAAGTTGATTGAAGATACCCTGCCAAATGATGATCCAAACCCTTAAATATTCTCTGGGAAACTGTACTGAAAACCGTCGCCCGAACGGTTACAACGTCTCCTTCCCAACCGTCTTCCAACCCTTCTCCTGCTGACACGTGTCCTCAGCAGACCAAAATTATCCCTATATTTCACTCTTTGAGCCGACCACAGACCTTCCGCCCTTTTGGCCCGACTGCCAATCTACAACCGTATTGGTCCGACTGCCAATCCTCCCGACTTGCAAACCATCTGACTTGTTTGGATTAGCTACAGACATCCCGACTAACAAACCATCCGATTTGTTGGTCCTGCCGCAGAGTTCCGACCTGAGAACTTCCCGACCTATCCAACCTGAGGACTTTCCGCCCTGAAGACTTTTCGACCTGCGAACTTTCCGACCTGAGGGCCTCCCGACCTGCGGACTTCCCGTCCTGATGACTTTCCGTCTTGAGGACCTCCCGACCTGAAGACCTTCCGACCTGAGGTCTTTCCGTCCTGAGGACTTTCCGTCTTGAGGACCTCCCGACCTGAAGACCTTCCGACCTGAGGTCTTTCCGTCCTGAGGACTTTCCGTCTTGAGGACCTCCCGACCTGAAGACCTTCCGACCTGAGGTCTTTCCGTCCTGAGGACTTTCCGTCTTGAGGACCTACCGACCTGAAGACCTTCCGACCTGAGGTCTTTCCGTCCTGTATTTTCCTTAGAAATAAACCTATTTTCCTTGAGCCAGTTCAACCAACTCTAATGCCAGGCCCATTCCTCTTTTACCTTGGGCTTTTTAACCTAATTCTAAATTTCATACGTAACAACTTGCCCGCCGCCAAGGGACTTTCAAACGCCATTTATCAATCGATGTTTGGAAGTTAATAAATCACCATCCTCTTGAAAAATTCCCTTAGCAACCGCACCAGTTACTGCAACACTCCTGATTAACTTCCTTCTCCGCAATACGAGCCTTTGTGAATCACAATCTCAATCACTCTAACCATGGCGAATCGATACATTCCTGCCCTTCCCTTCGACGGAAACCTCCCAGAGGGCCCCTTTTCAGCCTCGAAAGTATTAACTCCGACGATTCGCCCATACTGCACTACACCTGAAGACTCAAATCGGATGAGGGAAGTTTTGGAATCCCGAAATTCCTTGGCCATCAACAACCCTAACTACCAAGCAGTTCGCATTCGAGACAGCATCAAAACCCATCTCACAGACCCAAAAGATCCTTACCGCTCTTGGTATCGACGGGTAGCAGAACACTTCCAGACCCAATGGCGATCTCAAAAAATCGACCAAGCAATACTATTGTCCACCATGCCGATCAATCTGCACGAGAAGGTACTCCTAGCCATGTCTGCCTTCTGGAATGCGGAAAATGGGACTTTTCTCTTACCGTCGGGCCCCTTTGGTCCGACTCTCATGGATGTGGCGATGATCGCGCATCTCCCAGTCGTGGGTGAAGACCCTGTGATAGGAGCCCTAGATGGGCAGGAGCCACCAGAAGACCATCCAGGGTGGTCTTTACAAGGCGTGAAGGAATGGGGCTGGACAAAGTTCGCAACCGACCAGCAAGGGGCTCCAGGGACCCCCGTGACCGACCGGGAGCATACTGCCTTTATTCTTTTTTGGCTTTGTAGGTACGTCATTGTTTCCCCTTCTAAATGCGTTCTTTCTTCTCATCTCGACCTGGCCATTCATATCGCGTCAGGTCGGTTCTTTTCCCTTGGCACCCTGTTTTTAGCCAATCTGTTCGAAGGACTCACCAGGGTTAGCCTTCGTTTAACAGATAATGATAATAGAAAATTAGACACTGCCGCATCGGGTCCTTTTTGGTTTTTAGAACTTTGGTCCCGTCTGTACTTCCCCAACGCGTTCAACTTAGGATCTCCGCCCACTATGCCAATATCCGAAAAACATTTGGGATTAGCCCTCAACCGACTCTGCTCAGGACGCAGTAAACTCCAATCCTCCGATCCAATAATAACCACAATTTTAACAGATACCCGCAGTAATTCTCGATTTTCTATGTATAAAAAATATGCGGGTTATGCTCCCGACCACTTTTGGCCCTTTCCGGCACCAAATCCTCTTCCGACTCCTGAGCCTTGTCCTCATCCCACCTATCCTTTTGCCTGGGACGTTGCCCTCAAACCCAGGTCTCTTTTTAGCAGCAAAAAACTTGATAAAAAAGGGCAAAAAACTTTTTGCACCTTTAATTATGAACCTCAATTCATGGCGCGCCAGTTCGGCTGCTGCCAAGGTATCCCTGGACCCGTCGCTTGTCCTCATATAATTTTTCAAAGTCCTGACCGACGAGTCCTACCTAATTCGATCCCTTCTTATATCTCCCAGCTCACCACGTATATAGTTTCCAATTCTTATATTCCTTTCCGCTCCAACCCTTAGACTGTAGATATATTCAATGAATGGTGGTCGGTTGTATGGCCCCTGATTTCTCCTGATGAGGATCGGTTGCTGAACGTACTCCTTCCCCCCCAAGGATTGGTTCTAGGAGCGGCTAGACATACTAGCACTCAGCAACAAACAGCCGCCCCGGGAATCGGATCTAGCGTTCCAATGCGGAAAAGGAAAGCTTCCCAGCTGCAAACACCCCCGACCTCTGGGGCCGACCAGCAAACTCCGGCGGACCTTGGAACTACTAGGACGTCAGCAAGGACCCGACCCCGAATAGGTAATTTTTCTGAAAAACCGTGAACCAACTCACTATATCTTAACTTTGATTTCACTCATTTCATTCACCAGAACCGACCTTGGTAACACCAACCACACAAACGACGCCAGCCCCAGCCGACCAATCAATCATACCTTTGGTCCAGACTCAGGCACTTCCTCGCCAAACCCCTACTCCACTTCTCACTTTGCCAATGAGCAGCCGGGCGGAGGACCCGACAAGGAGGCAAACTCTTCCTCCTGCACCGAGGAGCAGTCGGGCCAGGCCCCCGACCAGGAGGCAATCTTTACCAGCACTGCCTATTGAACCAGTAAGTCCTCTTCGTCAGCAATACTCAGGATTCTGATGATCAACCCTGGTGTAGTTAACAACAACATTTCCCTAATTTTTCACAGACACCTTCACTAATCGCATCAGCAGCAGGGGTCTCTTCAGACAGCGAGGGGACTACTTCCCAGATGGGTCGACCGCCATACATGGCATCAGACTCATCCATTTCGAAGGAAGAACCAGCTGCCCTTGCCGAAGCTGACCCTCAAGACGACATCCCTGCTGCTGCTGATCCCGAAATAGTCCAATCGGATGCAGCTGCGCTGGAAACCGAAAGTGCCTCGGCTGCGGCTATCCCAGTTGCTCCTGAGATACCGGCTGCAGTGGCTCTAGATGCAGCTGCCCAACCTGCAGCCGCCCAGCCAGCAGCGGCGCTACCTCCAGCAATCGAGTGGCAGGCAGAAGAACCACCTGTGGCAGCCCAACCTCCAGAATTAGAAGAACTTTCTTCGTCCGATTCGGAGACTTTGTGAATTTGGTAAGATTAAACCAATTCATGCCACAATGTTTCTTTCTAAAAAAACACTAACTGTTTTATATACTACTTTCCATAGGGACCCAGGTCGGCACCTCAGCGACCATTCGCAGCAGCCGACGAGTCGGCTGCTATTATACCAGCTGTCCGCCCTACTCGACCGACCTCATTGTTGCCCCCTTCACTGACAGCAGTTCGCCCAGAGGTGACACATATCTTATCTGAATAATTTTGCACCTCCCTTGGAATACTTATTGAAACTGTAAGACTTGCAGGGGCCTTCGGACTTAGTTATCCTATCGACTGTTCCGGTTCCAGCGGAGGCCCAAACTATATTCACCGAGGCCATTAACCATCCCCTTTCAGAATTAAGATCCGACTTATTGGACAATCTCATTCAGACGGTTGGTGGCCTTCTTTTTTACACTCCAACGGAATCGCCAGCCGTCCCCATTCTGCATCGGCTGATGGAGAGACTTACGGAGCTCAAGACTGAAGTGTTAGTTATTGGACTCCTGTCAGCCGAAACCCCCCAGCCTGTCTTCGATCAAACAACACTGGAGAATTCTTTGGCTAAGACCCGAGAATCCCTTCAGCAAACTACTGGAAGGTTGGGCGGTCTCCTTAGCACGAAGGCTCAAGTTGATGAATCCATTCAGAAAAAGGAGGCAGAATTGCGGGAGCTAAGGAACAGTCTATCCTGGATAATCAAATTACCAATGAGCAGCGTCTGCTTGAGAAGTATACAAAGAACGAGGCCGAATTGGATCAAGAGCTAAAAACCCAAGCTCGATCCCAATTCATCAGAAGATATCAGACGGCTGCTAATACCAGAAGGCTATCCAGGGATGAAGTCAAATGGACAAATATAAAAACTGCCCTAGGGGCACTTTTGTAATACTTCCCCCTCTGTAACAACATTTGACTTAGTAATATATTTTTTTCCTTCTTCTTTCAAAACAAGGATCACCTTCCAATTTCCAATTTTTGAGGAACCGAAACAAACTCCTCCCTTAAAAGAACAATGTTTCTCACATATTAAGAAACACACCAAATTCCAAGGCATATTTTGAAAACCAAAACATTTGAAGTGTTAACAAACATGGCGAATGACCGACCTCATGTCCCATCAAGCAACTGGGAAGGTGCTCTTCAACCCTTCTTTGTAGGTAATCACCCTATTGGAGGCCATGCAGAAGACTTGTTACATATACTCAAGCAACTAGACTTCAAATTCCGATTCTCCCAACGAGGTAGAAGAACCATTCATCGCGTCATCCGCCTAATGGAAAAAATCATTGAGGGGTATGAACCTCTTCGTGACATCCTTAGCCGCATTCCTGACCTCCATCATCACATGGAATTGATTGAAAATCACGCAGCAACCATACTTCCAGACCTTGGTTGGGATAATATATTTTCCAATCAACGAAAAGTCTTTTCAAGATTGCGTACCATTGTTGACCGTGAATATCAAGCCATAACAGACATGCAAGCACGTACCAATCAAGATTTAGACGAAATGCAAAGCCAATGGGAGAGGTACCGACCAGATTTGGAAGATCTTATTGAAAAAGAACCAGAACTAATATCCCATCACTGGGATGAAAATTCTGATTCAGAGGCAGAAAATTTCTCACAAATAAATGATGACTAACAGAAATGAACCTTTAAATAGGTTCGAACCCCACAAATGGGTTCTGAATAATATTTTGCTTCAGGCAGTTTTGTTATCTGAAAAGGCAGGATAATACCTCTTCAGATATTTAGCATTAATACAATCATGTACTCTCTTACCTTCATGATTTACAATAATGAAAGCGCCATTCCCAATATCTTTTTGAATAATGTATGGTCCTTCCCAATTCGGTGACCACTTTCCCAATTGGTCAGTTTTCTTATATGTAGGAAGAATGGTCTTCCAGACTAGGTCTCCTTTTTGGAATGTCCTGTGAAGAACTTTCTTTCCGTAACTCCTTGCTCTGATTTCACTCTGTTTCACACTTAGACCTATTGCATGGAGTCGGTTAACATCCAAATCCTCCAACTGTTGCAACATAAGTCGTTGGTATTCTTTTGTAAGATCACCATCAGTAAATTCTGTTCGGCCAGACGATACTCGGATTTCGGCTGGTAAAACAGCATCTTGGCCAAAAGTGAGTTGGTACGGTGAGAACCCTGTGGCCGTATTTCTGGTATTCCTATGTGCCCATAAAGCCCGAGACAATAACAAATGCCACTTTCTTGGGTTCCCTTCAACCATCTTCTTTATAATCCCAATAATGATCTTATTTGCTGCTTCCGCTTGTCCATTGGCTTGGGGATAATAAGGTGACGAATGGTGTAATCGGACACCAAATTCTGCCAAGAAACTAGAAAACTTTTCCCCTGTGAAAACCAGGCCCTGGTCGGTTGTTATAGACTGAGGAATACCATATCTGTAAATAATTTGGTTCAAAACGAAGTCTATCACTTCTTTCTGATCCACATTTTTCAAAGCAACTGCTTCTACCCATTTGGTAAAGTAATCAGTCGCGACCAATATGAAACAATGGTATTTCGATGAAGCAGGATGTATCTTACCAATAATATCCATAGCCCATGATTTAAAAGGCCATGGTTTTGCCAAAAATTGCAATTCGGTTACTGGCAAATGGTTTAAATTTCCATGTCTCTGACATTCCTGGCAGCCTTTGGCAAATTGTATGCAATCTTCAAAAATCTTTGGCCAGAAAAAACCCAAACGATGAATGGCCCATCTCATATTCAGACCTGCCCGATGAGCTCCACATATCCCACCATGTACTTCTGTCATTACCTCTAGAGCTTCTTTAGACCCCAAACATTTCAAAAGTAAACCTTCAAATGATCTCTTATACAAAATTCCATTTATCAATTGAAAACGTAAAGCCTTCAATCGTGTCGCAATTGAAACACTCGCACCTGGATTTTGTAAATACATGATAAGCTCTGTTCTCCAATCGGTCACTGTTTCACTGGTATCTTTGTGTCCGACTGTAACTACGCCGTCGGGCTCCTGTCCGACAGTAACTACGCAGTCGGGCTCCTGTCCGACAGTAACTACGCAGTCGGGCTCCTGTCCGACAGTCTCCTGCCCGACCATTCGATCACATATTGGGTCTGTCTTTCCTTCTATGCCCGACTTGACCTCCGACCACATATCCTCCAGAATTCCTTTACAGGCCCTTTGAGCCAACTCATCAGCACGTTGGTTTTCTTTCCTCGGAATGAACTCAATTATTACTTCTGAGATTTTTGTCAGTAACCGACCCACAATGTCCCTGTATCTGCGAAGATGAGGGTAATTGCAAACATATTGAATGTTTACCTGGTTGATTACTAGTTGAGAATCCCCTCTTATGATTACAGACTGGACCTTCCTGGCTATTAAAGCCTCCAAACCCAAAATTAAAGCTTCATATTCTGCCGAATTATGGGTCATGGCTTCCAATCGTAGTTGTAAGTTGATCTTTTGACCGTCAGGTCCTTGCAAAAAGACCCCTGCCCCTGATTTGTTTCCAGAGGTAGAACCATCAAAGAACATCAACCATGTTCTGGTACTTATATAAGGTACACATCCGACCTGTAGATTATTCAGATATGATGAACAACTAAGTGGTCGGACACTATCACAAAGAGAATATCCGACTTGTGAAATTCTGCTAAGAAGTCGGCTACTGCTTGTCCCTTGATTGCCTTCAAAGGGGAATGTTGAAGATCAAAAGGAGCCAATTTGATGGCCCACTTCATGAGTCTGCCCTTCATAGTAGGTCTCTGCAAAATCAATTTGATGAGATCCACCTTTGATATGACCTCAATTCTTCTGGGCAGCAAATAATGCTCGAGTTTAGTGCAAGCGAAGACCAATGAATAACACATTTTTTCTGGCATAGTGTAATTCAGTTCTGGTCCTGTAAAGGTTTTACTGAGATAGTAGATTGCCCTTTCCTTCCCGTCATCACCATCCTGTGCCAATAAACAGCTAACCACTTCATATGTATTTGCCAAATAAAGTTTGAGCGGCCGACCTTGTTTAGGAGGCATCAAGACTGGAGGGTGAACCAATGCCTGCTTGATAGCATCTAAAGCCGTCTGTTGATCGGGACCCCATTCAAAAGCATTTTTTCCAGCTTTCAACAATTTAGTAATGGGTTTGACCTTGCCAGCAGCATTAGAAATGAAACGCCTCAAATAGTTCACCTTACCCAAAAGACTTTGGATTTCTTTAACCGTCTTGGGTGGCCGACTGTCAAGAATGGCTTTAGCCTTATTGGCATCGATTTCAATTCCTCTCTCATGAACTAAAAATCCTAAAAAGCTCCCGGCTGATATTCCAAAAGCACACTTGGTTGGATTCATCTTCAACTTGTACTTCTTCATTCTTTCGAATGCCTCTTCAAGATTTCTCAAATGTTCGTCAAAACTGGAGGATTTAACAATAACATCATCAATATAAACTTCCATAGATTTGCCAATTAAATCATGAAAGATTGAATTCATGGCTCTTTGGTAAGTTGCCCCTGCATTCTTTAACCCGAATGGCATGACTGTCCATTCATAAATACCTAAAGCCCCTGGGCACCTGAATGCTGTCTTAGGAATGTCTTCTTCTGCCAGAAATATTTGGTTATAACCTGCATAACCATCCATCAGACTAAGGACTTTATGCCTGCTGCTGCATCTATCAACATGTCGGCCATAGGCATCACATATTCGTCCTTAGGGGTAGCTAGATTCAAATCCCTGAAATCGATGCATATCCTTATCTTACCATTTTTCTTGACCACTGGCACAATGTTAGCCAGCCACTCCGCATAACGGCAAGGCTGAATGAAACCCACTTTGAGAAGTTTTTGGATTTCTTCCTTGATTTGAGGCATCAGATCCGGGCTCATTCGCCTTGGAGGTTGTTTGTAAGGTTTGCAACC